ATATCACGAGGGCGTAGCCCGAGTGATATAATGATGCGCATCCGAATGACAAACAGTGATGTTATCAAGCAATAAAATCATCGATTTGGATATATTATTTCGATTCTAACACGACATCAACAAATAAATGCTGCCGTACATGATAATTAAGCTAAATTGCGTCTGATTTGTTTCCGTACTTATTGTCAGCGCGTCACATTTTTAGTGGTTACGTCACGTGTATAATGATTACGTCACATGTCTAAATATAGAACGTCAAACAGTGATTTTATTGCATAATAACACACACTTTCGGTTCTTCTATGTTCAATAGGGAAAAATGCGGGTCGTGTTAGAATGTCTAATATTATATTGTTCGATATTTGACGCGACAAAACGAATCCATTATAGCCCCCCCCCCCCACATTTTGTGGCAAGTGTCTTATAACATAAAATTTATCAGGCTAGTCAAGAGTAAAATAACAGGCTTGGAAGAACCTCGACCCTTTTTTTTACTTAGTCATGACTGATCAATTTTGTTATATCAGACACTAGTATATCATTCTGTATCTATACATTACATGATGCTAATGTTTTTGAAGCTAAAATACAGAAAATGTAAATTCACATTTTATTTTATTTATATTTCTGAACATTTAATTTATAAGTACATAATAAATAGTGGCTATTGGGCAAGTGTAGGTTTAATACTGATTTTATTGTACAAGTTGGATAAAATCATATTATGCCAGGCCCTTAGATGCATATTAACTCCAACATTAATACCAGTTAATAAATATACACTCATAACAAGAGCCACCGCCGGGCGGGGTAACGCTCAACTTTTTCTATGAGCAAACAAAGAAATGTTTGCACATCAAGTCAAGGTCATTTATGAGTGAAGGTCAAGGTCTGCCTGCTTATTATAAAGGGCTACCCTTGAAGATTAATAAGTTAAAGTTTGAAGACAATCCATTCATAGATAAAGTTACAGCCAATAATAGCAAAATTTTAGAGACATTTGACCTTCAAGGTCAAGGTCATTTATGGATAAAGGTCAAGGTTAGTGTGGTCTACCAAAAGCTCTTGTCCAAAGGGTTCGTTGTGGCCAAGTATAAAGACAATACCACCACAAACCAAAACAAGAGCGATCAGTAATCACATGTGTCGCCTCATGATGGGGGCCAATTTCATGTTGGGATACAAATTTTGTGGAGAGGGACACGACAGAACGGACAGTGCACAACTAGACTTGGTACTGATCATTCCTGTAAAGTTTGGATTAAATTGCACCAGTAGTTTATGAGGAGTAGTTCCGGAAACAAGCTTTTGCGTAACTGGCAAACACACAGAAAAAGAAAACCTTTTTATCAAAGGGCCATAACTCGGCCAAAAATCATTTCAACCGGAAAACCCGTGCAATATGCGCAAGGACTTGAGCTAACAGATCAATCCTGTAAAGTTTCATTGAAATTGCATTAGTGGTATAAGAGAAGTAGTCGGACAAACTTTAAAAAATTAAAAATTATTTAAAGGGGGCCATAACTCTAACAAAAAATCATGAAAACCGGAAAATGCTGGACAATATGCACAACTAGACTTGGTACTGATCATCTCCTGTAAAGTTTGGATGAAAATTGCACCAAGTAGTTGAGGAGTAGTCCGGGACAACCCAATTTGTGACGGACGGACGGACAGACAGACGACGGAGAAGTGATCCCTATATGTCACCACTACTCCGTAGAGGCAACACAAAAAAGTTATGATCCAGGTACAAGTTTGCGGGATGGCAACGCCGCCAAGACTATTACAATACCTCTACTTTTTTCTTCAAAAAAAAAAGTTGAGGTAAAAAAAAAGTTGAATCTTAACTACAGATTCAATTAGTTCAATTTAAAATTGATAAAAATCAGGACTGTTATGCATTTAGTAAACATATCTTTGATGTATATACATTCTATATTTAGGTGCTGACCACCCTCAGATTTTGTCTGGCGAAAGGGGATTATTTTATCTGAAACAAGTGACCTGGCATGGCATTTCAAAAGTCATAACAGTAGCCGGATTGTTGGAAGAGTAATGTTGAGGCCATTTGTAATAAGGTTAACAACATTAAGATGCCAGGATCACACTCAAGCAGCAATAAACAAACAGAAGGTTCATCAAATTGCCCGCTTCCCCAATGTAATTGGGTGCATTGATGGCACCCTTTTACCCATTATGGCACCACCAGGGGCAGAGGAAGGAAAACCCATATTTGTATGTCGCAAAAGGATTACCATGCCATAAATGTCAAAGCAGTAATGTGATGCAAATATGAGGTAAATAAAAAAAAAAAAAAATTTCTCAATTGGTCTTTCTTAACATTGTAATGTTTTCTCTTAAAGCTCTTTCTACTGTATAATCTAACATGCAAATTTTATCATATTCTTAAATCCAGTTCAAAGATATCTACTGTGCAGTTCTTTTTTCTACAGTGCATCTGTATATAAACGTAACCCACACCTGTAACATGTAAAGCTCTTAAATGGCTGTTCAAAGGCCAATGAACTCACACATATAACATTTATTTAATTAACTTAATATCAGTTACTCAATATTGTTTTAAGGTACATAAATGCAGTTATACGGTGGCCTGGCAGTACACATGACGCTTTTATATTAGCAAATTCAAAACACTGCCAGGCATATTTTGAATCAACTAACAATGGCTGGCTGTTAGGGGACTCCGGCTATCCATTGAAGAAATGGCTGATAACTCCGCTACTGAATGTGAATACCGAACAGGAGAGGCGTTTCAATGAAGCGCACATGGCAACAAGATGCGTTATTGAAAGGTCTTTTGCACTTCTGAAAGCCCGCTTCAGGTAAATTTCACTTTATCTACATGGCATGTTCTTGTGATAAAAAAAGTTATAAATAAAGAAAAAAGAATTATCATTTTTTATATTATGCTTACTAATGAATTATAGAAATTTATCAGTGATTTAAAATTGATAATCCACTGTTTCAAAACAGTGAAATTACCAAAATTTTGGTTAAAGTAAGCATAAAATAAAAAGAAAATTTGTTTATTTCTGTGAAAGATTATAATTTATTTCATCTCGTGAACGCCATATGTCCATATTTTCACTCGTGGCTGCGCCACTCGTGAAAATATGGACATGGCGCTCACTCGATGAAATAAATTATTATCTTCCACAGAAATAAACAAATATCATCTATTACATTCAAGGTTATTATGCCTAATGACATCAAATCAGTAGTGGTCTTCTACTAGTATTGATAAATTAAAATATGAATCACCAAGACTTCATACTTCAAGATAATATAAAGTATAGAAGATAATGAGTGGAAACAATTCTAACTTTAAAGGTCCATTGACCTAAGGACCCTAAAATCAATAGGGCTCATCTACTAGTCATGACCTATCAATATGTGAAATTTAAATACTAAGTGATAAATAATTTTCAAGATATTGAGTGAAAACCGTTTTGACATTACAGTATGTGAAATATGAAAACTTTGTGAAAAATAGTTTTTAAGATAATCAGCAAAAAGCATGTGATCTACCAACGGACAGACAAGACCGACTGCCATTAGCAAAACAATATACCACCTCTTCTTTGATGGTGGGCATATAAAAATCATTCACTTGCTATAAACTGATATATATTATCTACAAATGTGAAACTGTAATAATAAAATTATTCAAATTTCGTTGAAAAATGACTATATTTTTTGCATGATACATTTTGCAGATGTTCTTCACAAAAACTGGAGGTGCACTTCCATACAGACCAAACAAGTGTGTTAAAATTATAGAGTCATGTTTCAAACTGCACAATATGGCGCTGGACTTAAATCTTCCAAATCCTAATACTGACAGCATTGTTGTTGACAACAATCAAGAAATCGTACAGAATTGTAGCAGGGATGCGTTTGAACAGAGGAGGAGACTAACACAACGTTTTTAAATATATATATATATATATGTATAAACAATTTCCAAGAAGTTACTCATTGGGCCCTAGGTGGAATACTCATAATCAGTCACATGACACTAAAAATCACTTGATAACATAGGCAAATTTGTTTCTATACATAGTAGCAAGTGTATTAAAGCTGCACACCTCCACATGAGCCAAATATTTTAAGAAATTCAATCTTTAGAAAAATGTATTAAGATCTTAAGAAAGGTAAAAAGATTCATTCATATTTTTTGAATAAAATAAATAATATCATCGCCATTTAAGGTTGATAGTCTAACTTTTTTTTCAGGTAAAGACTTCTTGTACTTAATGAACAATTTGACTCCCAGGGGGGAAAGCAGATTTTAATAGTAAAGTTAATATTAAAGACATTTCATTTAAACTTGTATTTAAGCATAAAAGAAGAAGAAAATTTGTTTGTTTGTTTACTAAGATGCTATTTTATTTCATCTTGTGAACTTTAAAAAACAGTGTTCTATGGCACTTGTGAGAGTACTGTTTTGAAAGCTCACTCAATGAAATAAAATTAATCTTACACACAAAAAACAAATATCCTCTATCTCTTGAAAATGTTTCAATACAGTCAAATATTATATATATGGGTGTTCAGATAGCTGGTGTCTATTCCATGAAAGTGTTTGCACATTTTTTTTTCCACTTCTGTAAGAACAATAGGAGATGAAAAATGTGTAAAACACTTTCACTAACATTCAAGTAGAGTATTACTTAATAAGCCTTCAATTTGTTTATCACGCATAATATGCAGCATTGACTCTACAGCTTCTGCAGTTCTCTTCTGGAAAGAAACACTCTCCTCCAGAAGCTGTAACTTTTCTTTTCTTCAATTCCAAGGTCTCCCTTGCCAAGGCCAGCTTTTCCTCCTTCAATTTCCAAGAAGCGCCTCTTTCTGTACATCTTCAGCTGAGGTTAAAAATCCATAATTCAACAAGAAGTTTATTGCACAAATCAATTTAGTTCTAATAATTGTCAATATACATTTCAAACTGATGTCTTACATTAAAATTGACTTTTAACCATTAAACTGCTAAACTGAACAGCCCTGTATGACTTTAGGCAAGATGTCTACAGTCTAAGATACGTCATATTAGACTAAATTCATCATGTTTCTCATTTAAAAGAGAAAAGATTTAAAATCACATGTTTCCAATAGGAAGTAATTTATCCTAAACACTTATTTTATTGCTAAATAAAATGAGTGTCTGTCTAATAAATAACAGTTCATAACAATAATGGCAATGAGTGTGACTTCTTGCACAGAAGAATGCAAATGAGCATTTATTGTACTACATACATGGTAGAGTCATGATATCACTGATTGTTTCCTGTTACAAAAAAATGTAATGAGCTAATACTATTTTGCTTAGATTTTAACTTTGCATGCATTACCTTTTCTGATACTGGTTGATTTAAAGAATGCAATAATTATACATTCAAATTTATATAACTGCGATAGATTATTAGAGAATAGAAGATAATTTAATTACAATACATGAGACAGATAAATACTTACTGCTGCAAATACCCCGTCTCTTCTCCCTGCTCATGGTTTTTTCTGTAAATTGATAATTGAAACACATGTAAAAGTTCTGTTAAATGTAGTCTAATTTTGTTACATTTTTAATATGATGTATGGTGACATCGACTTTCTTTTCCTGAAGAAGCAAAATTTATTCATGACAGCATTTATTTCTGCCTGTTATTCCTTTTCGTTATGATTTTCTAATAAAAGTAATTGCATTTTATAGTCTAAGTTTCATGCTTACGCACGTTCACCGACTTTACAGCTATTACTATTATTTTCTATTCATCCGCATTCAGATATAGTCCGACTACTGTGAAAATTATATTTTATAAATTTCACTAGTGGTTTATCAGAATATAATCATCTGATATATTACAATAAAACACTGGAAAGCATGAAATAAACTTTTCAATTCAAAGTTATAGGAAATAATTTAACATGCCATTTGAAAAAATAGCTATTTTGAAATAGGGCAATAAATGTGAGAATAAAGTAGTGACAGTAGATTACATTTCCCATTATTAACTAGACATTTGTTTAAAAGAATATAACTTAAAACTTAGGTTAATTCACCTTTACATTTTCCTATCATTTAATCAATGACTTCAAATCGGTTCATAACATTTTTTGTATTGATTTGTTGTGTAGTTATGTTTGACGTAATCAATCCAATATGTTTAATTGTCTGTGAAGTTCTACTCAAGTTCTGTACTTGTGTTTTGGCTAACCAATTCAATATGTTTTAATGTTTATGAAGTTCAATTCAACAACATTTAAACAGCTTAACAACGGAAGGGTGCAAAGAACCTAAGCTGAAGATTATACATTAGGAAAGTTAAACTATTAAGCACTTATACAATTTAAGCTGATATATTATGTAATAAATGACCATGAGTACAAATACAATTCCAATGGATGATAATGACTTATATACACGTTTACAGTCTCACCTTTGGAGGAAGAGCTTCTTGCAGTAACCTGGTCCCCAACCAATGTATCTTCAAAGTAGAAACCAATACAAACATCTTTATTTAGTTCCAATGTAATCATAAGAAAACCAGCAACATGTAGTTAAAATATGTCAATCAAACATGTATATAGCATCAATTTTTCTAAAATGCCTCACACTTTCATAAGATGATGTTCCAAGCTTGAGGTAAAACTTATGAATGACTGTTCACAGAGACAACAAATGTACAATATAAACCTTAAATATAAGCATATGGTCCAAATTTAAACAGCTTGACATCAAATAACAAGAAAGAAGCTCAAAAGTTAAATCTCTATGTAAGCTGATATCAAAGTTTAATGTTACCTCTAAAAGCAATGGATGTAATCTAGATTTCAAATTAGATGATAAGGTCAAAATCTAGGTCAGCAGATCAACATCTTATTCTGTGGACATGGTATAAACACTAACAGCCTAAAGTTATGATCGAGGTTAGAGTTTGTAGACATCAATGGCAATGGCGATCTGACTATTGCCAATCTGACTGTGACAATAGCTCAATTATTTAAGAAACCACACAAATACTAATAAATACCTTTAACTGTGGTATTACTGGCAACTTCTTCCTCTCTGCCTTCTTCTACGGTAACGTTAACTGAAATGTTGAAAATAATAAAGCAGACATTCAATGAGAGTAGGTTAAATACTGAATTTATTTAATTAACAAGAAGAATAATATTAATCATGCAAGCCTCGGGCGAGCAAAATATTATTTTATTTAACACGTTCAATAAACTTAGTAATGGAAGTTTTATTTATATAATACTGTTTTTATCACATAAATAAAATAAATAAAAAAAGAAATGTGAACAATTAAAAAGAATCACATTTTCATCAATGCCCATTTAGCATGATTCTAACATTAAGCTTGTCTTGAAGCTATGTATTATTATATGACCTAACTTTCTACATTTCTTGTTGGCGAGTTATAAAATGTTTGAAAAATGGGCTGCATTTCAGTTTTTTCATGATAATGGCAAGGACTATGCAGCACTTTTTGTAAAAAACAGATGAGCTAATAATGAATAGAGTACATAATGTGCATGTGTTTATTAATGAATATACAAATGATTACTTTCAAAATTTACGACGAAATTGTCATTGTATTAAATATGACAATGAATGATAAAAATTACCTTCATCCAAGTGTAAACAGGTTGGAGCCTCCCGTTCTGGCAATGTAACATGATCTTCCACTGAAATGTTGGAATTAATGTTAATAATCAAGTGCTTAGAATGTATGTGTCTATGTGCCCTCTTGATTTAATTTGGAATCACAGTTTTGATAAACTTAGTCAGGGGAAAACTCTCAAATGTTTGCTAAATGACGGGTTAAAATTAAAACTCAGTTGTTGAGACATTTGTATTACTGCATTATTTTTGGCTTTCTTCAATGAATTCTTAATGAATGAAAAATAATGAAAACAGTCGATAATAATTTATCATTATGTTATTGCAATTTGACTCACATTAGTTGTGCAATTCATGAAACATCACTTCCAATTAAAACAAAACAAAAGGTGAGAATATTGATGATTAACAAGAATATGGATGCTTAACAACTTAGCATAAAAAGCCCAATGAAGCCATAACTTCATTAAATCATGAAAAATATTTACCTTGTTTCTCTCCTACGCCAGTGTCACAGCCCCCACTAATCCCAACTAAGCCTGTCCTTGGTATGGTAGTCAGTACCTACAGAGGAAACAAACAAGCATTTGAAAATATCAAATTATTTACTACTTTTGTTGCAAGTCACACATACATGTTTATTTACTTGTCAGCAATAATATTGTTGTATGTTAATTGCCTTTTTTATGTTTGTTATAGATACCTTTCATATTTTTACATGTTGAAATATATTTAAGCTCAATTGTTAGTTAAGAGTAAAATGTTTATATTTTAAAAGTTTCAAATTGTTTGGTAACTGTAAGTTATTTGAAATGATATCATAGTGCTTATATGTTATAAATACACTTAAAATTGGAAAGAGTTATTGTTCACTTTGTTTGTTTCATTTGGTTTTACCTCACATTGAAAAAAGGGGAAAAAAAGCTGCTTACAATCTTCTGCCATTCTTTAAGATCTGCCGGCCCAAATCCACCACCAGTCAAAGAACTTGAATTGAGCCGGGCGGCTTCCATTTTCTTGACTGTCATAACAGCCCATTGCCATTTTTTTTTACTTCCTCAACTGTCCTCTTATCTCTTATTGATACTGCATTCACACTGAAATTACAACAATTTTATTAATGCTTATAAATGGATCAACCATAAACAGTAACAGTGGAAAATGTTCATGGGGAATTTAACTCTCTACAATGTGTCAGCAATACCTCCAGATGCTTGCATGAATCATGATCACAAAATTAAAAAAAAATATCGCTTTTTATGCCGATATTTATCTTTTATTCATCTATTTATATTTTATATAAATCCATGTGAAGATATGAATTAAATACTATCATACATGTATTTATATCAAAGTGCATTTTGATGAATGTAAAGGCAAAATTTTAGCATTTAATCATTCAAGCTTGTCCTGAAATTACTTAAATACAGGATATGTCCAAACCATTATTTATGTCTCACTCAATCATGAGTTTGATACAAGGAGTATTCGAAAAAATGTACAATAATTAACATGAGGTACCAAAGTAAGACAGGGCAGTTTTGGTACTGACATTAGAATGAATTTAATAACAGAGGAGCAATGACAAAAATATCATTGAAGTAGTAAAAAAATTGCCAAGTATTTTCTATATCATTCACTTATTCGATAGCAGTGATTTTTATTCCAATTTTCAAAACAACCTGTGGCTCTCTGAAGGGGAAAATATAGCACGATAAATCAGAAAAGTGGGAAACCTGAAATCAAATTCCAACAACTGAAAATGGAATTTACTCACACATTTTATGAAAAAAATTAATTTCAATTCAATTTAACATGCATGGTATATAGCAGAGGCTATCTATAGGGACATATTTCTGTCTTCTAGCTGATGCTGTTAAGTCATGGTTCTGGTAAGGAAGAGCACAAGGAATTTTAGGGGAAAATATATGCATTTTTAGGGGAAAATCCTAGACCTGCATATTGTCAAAACTCGTTACCGGCGTAAACAGTCACCCTCGAGCTAGATATTCCGGTCTGTACCAGCAGCCGGTGTAAGATTCTCATAGAAGATTCTCCTGTTTGATTTTTCTTGTTTTTTTTGCATATATGCAAGAAAAAAAGGCAGTAAAACTTGTTAAAACTTAAATCCATGTTCTTGTGATTATTACCCGTGCTTCGATGTTCTTCACATCTGAAGCAATCAAAGACTAATATTTTCATACAGTAACACTGTATTTTGTCAAGTTATCATAGAGAACATTCATCTGTTCATGGATCAAATATTATATGGGCCGAGTTACCCCGAGTAAATTAAAGGCCGAACAAAATCGGGTGAAATGAATCGGAACGTATCGAGCTATCATTGAATAAAAGGTAAAGCATATTATGATGGGCGACAAATGGCATTTATAAGATAATACAGTACTTCCTAATGTAGTCCCTTTGATCCTTCACAATCTGACGTTGAATTGGTAATAAATAAAGAAGACCATCTAAGCTATTGATGCGTCATAATTAATTCTATTTCCTGTTAATTATACGTTATCTCCCTTCGGTGAAGAAAAGCAAAACGATTATTTTTAAACGGAAAAATGGAAAAGAGACTGCAAAAAAAATTGTTCGATACATACCGCTCTGTGACCGACTCCCAACACTTTTTTTCTCTTATCGTGTGTTAGAAACAAACTAAATTTCCCGTTTATTATTTCAATCACGGACTGAGCTGCTTCCACAAGTGAAAGCAGCTCTCCGTCAGTCCAATTTGCCTTCCTGGTGGCGAGAGCGCTGTCGGACATACTTGATAGCAGACGACGATGACTTATCGCGGGATAAGGCACGAGCGGCAGGCACGAGCGGTTGGGTTTTTTAACTTCATTGGGAAGATTTTGTCTTAAGTAAAAACTTAGGACTATTCCTAAGTACAAGACTTAGGAGAGTTTCTTGAAACGCTCCTAAGTGCAATCTTATTCCAGTCCTAACTTTAGTCTTATGTTTTAGACTTACGATTCTTTATAAATTACAAGTTTACAACCAGTTTCATCTTATATGTATATACTCCTGGTTTGAACCCCGGGGTCTAAACCAGGAGTATATATATACTGTTGAGAAAAATATTTTACCTGTCGTTCATTCCGTGAAGAGTTAACTTCAATGAAACATATTTTGAAATATTATAGATATCGTAAAATGCTTTTATAAATTACATCTTATATATATACTCCTGGTTTGGACCCCGGGGTTTAAACCAGGAGTATAATATTAAGCGAGAGAAATTGTCAATATTTATAATATAAACAAAACAAAATATGCTGGAAAAAAGAGACACGAGTGACTTCACAATAATGAGTTCTGCAGGGGAGGGTATCCCCTGGAATAGGGTTTTCTTAGGGGGTTCATATATATTTAAAAATGGGGCTTGGTTTGTTTTTGGGGGGATATTTGGAAGTGTCCAATTGTTGAATAAATATGCCCCGGGGCGTAAACAAATGAACCCCGGGTGTTAACAAATGTGCCCCGGGGGGGGCTAACAAATAGGCCCCGGACAGAGAGCAAATGTCACTTGCGTACCAATATATCCATTGCAAGGATTAAAATATCACCTAATATTACCTAATGTCGAAGAGAAGCATGCACGTACTGTTTCACAGTGCCATCTAAGTATTCATAACGTCTGTTGGTCGTATTCCAGGCATATAAACTTCTTGAATAACGTCCCTGTTCAAACAATCTGAACAATGCTGTGAAATGCCTTTGGGCTTCAGTATCTCTTCCTAACGACAAAAGACAAGCCCATTCAAAAAACACTTCAGGGGTCAAACCATTAACATAACAAAAAGCTGTAACCAGTATTCTGTCAAAATGCTTCAAATTTTGTGTCCAAAAAAGTCGTCGTATTCTCCTTGGCCACTGTGCAGCATCACCAATTAAGTCCTGTATATTCACCCATTTCTCGTAAATTTCTTTATTTCTGCCAATCCAAGACATATTCATTGGACAGAAAGGTTATATGAAAGGTAAGTGTACTACATGTAAATGCACTCGGTTCACCTTTTTGGGAAACAGTACATTAAATCGGGTGTAATGCCATCATGGCAGTCAATGTGACATGATATTGACACTTTTGATGGTGCCGATGCCAGCATCAGCCAAAAGTTGTGCAATTGAGGCTCTTCAGAGAATATTTCTTCATTGTTATAAAACTATTATCTTTAATTATAAATTATATTATTAGTATTACAAATTTTTACTTTTGTAAAAAAAGCTGTAAAAATGTAGATAGTATTCTACGATGTCTATTATTATTTTGTTTGTTATTATTATTTTGTTTGTTTGTTTGTTTCACAACAAAAAGAAGATATCTTACAAAAGCAGAATATATCGATTTGTTTCCGGTAAGTACACATATATACTCCTGTTTTAAGCCCCGGGGTTTGAACCAGGAGTATATATACAGTGGATAAAATAAAATGTCTATCAACTACAGGGACTAGTTAGTCGCACTCGACGAGCATGGGTTCGAGCCCCATGTTTTTTTTTTTTTTTTTTTTGCTTGTTTTTTTCTGTAAGTACACATATATACACTACAGTTTTGACCAGGAGTATATATACAGGCTCAGCGGATAACATAAAATGTCTACCAACTACAGGGACAAGTAAGTCGCACTTGACGAGCATGGGTTCGAGCCCAATGTGTCTTTTTTTTTCTTCAAACTAATAAAAAATCATTTAAAAATTGAAAGAGGTTATTCTTTCCTACTAAAATATGACGGGCCTCATTTTTTTCAAACTCAAATGAACTTGGGCGGGCCGGTGCTTGTCATGATCTGTCAAAATCCTGGCAGCCCAAGACCACGGTATATAAGGTCCAAGAGCAACAGCCTAGACATCACTTCAGCATGGCTTCAGAGAGGAAACTAAGGGTTGCCGGCAACTACCGGAGCCGTAAAGATGACCCTAGTAACATTGAAATTCAGGACTTTTACAATCCGTGGAATTTTTATCACGTTATGTCGCAAGATGATTCGTTCGTTGTTAACTGGTGCGTTCGTAACGGATTACTGCATGGACCGATGCCTTGCCATAGACCAGGATGCAATGGAACACTTTCCCTTGCAAAACGGTCAAGGAATATTTCAGGGGCTGTGCTAAGATGTAACAAACACCGCGACCACGAGCAAAGTGTTAGGAAGAACTCTTTCTTCGAGAAATCACACCTTACCATACAGGACGTAATGATGTTTTCGAAATCCTACTTGGACGGATTTTCTCTTAGCACATGCGCAAAATTTGGTGGCGTTGCTTACGGCAGTACGGCTGTGGACTGGGGAAGCTTCATAAGAGAGGTTCTTAAGGAATTTTATGAGAGAAAATTAAAAAACAAATTTTTATCTGGAGAAATTGAAATTGATGAAAGTCTTTTTGGACGAAAAGTAAAATATAATAAAGGAAATCCCCACAAAGGACTGCGAGTGTGGGTGTTTGGGATGGTAGAAAGGGCCAGCAACAGTTTGATCCTCTACCCTGTTCATGACCGCCGAGCGAAAACATTGCTGCCGCTAATTGAACGCCATGTACAACCAGGAAGTACAATATACAGTGACGGTTGGTCTGCATACTGTCCACTAAACGAAATGGGGTACAGACACTTCACAGTGCTTCACAAATATACCTTTAAAAAGGTATATGTCAATAAAGAGACAAAAGAGACTATTGCAGTAGATACAAATCGGATAGAGGGGGCGTGGAAACATGCTAAAGATTATTTTCGGTAAGACTTCTTTTTTTTAATGTAAAACTAGTTTATGTATTTACGGAATTAATGACAATTGTAGCTAGTTAATAAACATTGTGTCTGTTTTGACGGAATAAATGCGTCAACAATGTATTTTTTATATATTTACGGAATGATCGAATGACATTTGTGTTTTATAAACATTTTCTTGTCGTATATATCCTGGAATAAACCCCGGGGTCTAAACTAGGAGTATATATAGGGTTCATTCCGTTTTCTTTAGTGCATTATCTACAAGTTTTACTTCTGAAATTTAAATTACTTTTTTATCATGATACAATTTTTTATACTTTTTATGTATTTACGGAATGAATGACATTTGTATTTTATAAACATTGAATTGCCGCTGGAATAGACCCCGGGGTCTAAACTAGGAGTAAATATATAAGGTTCATTCCGTTTTCTTTAGTGCATTATATTCAAGTTTTACTTCTGAAATTTTAATTACTTTTTATCATGATACATTTTTATACTTTTTATGTATTTACGGAATGAATGACATTTGTATTTCATTAACATTGAATTGAAGTTGCGTATAGACTCCGGGGTCTAAACTAGGAGTATATATAAGGTTCATTCCGTTTCCTTTAGTGCACACTTCTGAAATTTACATAGTGGTCAAATCAAGAACAGCAAACATATATTTCAAATGGGGGAAAATGTATGTACTTTATAATAGCTATCGTTACTTAAAAAATTTACGCATATTTCACTTCCTTTTGCAGACGAATGTCGGGTACGACAGCTTCTCAATGGGAGTCTCACATGGCCGAGGTGATGTGGCGCAGTGTTGTTAAAGGAAATGTATATTCCTTTTTTGACTTCATCAAGGAAATATATCCTCTTGACAAGCCAGCAGTATATACCTACAGCACTCCACTGTTTGATTCATGGACAGGTCCAATTACAGAAAACGAGAAAATGGAACCTGCATTTTCAGATGCCAATTCGGAATCCGGTAAGCTAAATATTTACATTGTATATATTTTATCTAAAATTGATTGATTGATTGACTGATTGATTGTTTTCAAATGTCTTATGTCAATCAAGTTGCATAACAATAAAACTAAGGGACAGGCAATAATATCACAATGCACATGTTTTTTACATAAAGTTATTAAATACAAATATAACAACATATTTGTTTATATGATTTTTACGAATCAAAATAAAGCTAATTAACACAACATGACATTAACTGCTAATAATAACAGCTCCGTCCATAGACTAAAATAAAAAGCATTCCAAAAGAAACGTCGCCGATAATTGTGACAAGGGAATTCACTCTTGTCAACCTTAATGCCAATCTCCTACGCAGTGATCTCCCCTTATCAGTACGGAAATTACAAGGCTGTGACTAAAAAAAGGATTGGAGCACCACACTAAATCACACCGTATTACCGGCGGCAGTGATGGCAGATCACTGCAGTGATGGCAGATATCTGAAAATTACCGATCGGTACAGGTAGGTTATAAATTTGGTTGGTTTAATTATATTACACAAATACGGCCCATATCATTGCTATAAAACTATTGTCCATTGAATGGAGATACTGTAAGGTAATTTTGGACTCGTTTTGTCCTGTTTTAGGACTATTTTGAGCAGGTTAAAAGTGAAAGCCTCGGAAAAAATCCGTGAAAATGTCTGTTTTCTGTTCAAAATATCTCAAGTTTTAAGTGAATGGCAGGATTTCCTGTTATCAATGTAGACGTTTATCCATTGGGGTCACGCAAGCCAAATATCTACCCCGTGAGTCTTTTCTTGAAAGTTTTACAGACGCTCAATCTTGTCCGGTCGAAGAAAAAATGCTGCCGTTGTAGGCAGATACATATTATAAATGCTGCCGTCGATGGCAGAAATACCACGAAAGTGGCTAACATTCTGACAGAAAATCAAGTTCAATCTTTTATCAATTCCTCTTTTCTTTGCGTCCTTTTAGTCGGAATTGAGACGTTAAACTATCATTTCTAATATTTTCTCAAGATAAAAAAGTTATTAATGCGGTATCACACCGTATTACCGGCGGCAGTGATGGCTGATCACTGCAGTGATGGCAGATATCTGAAAATTACCGATCGATACAGGTAGGTTATAAATTTGGTTGGTTTAATTATATTACACAAATACGTCCCATTTCATTGCTATAAAACTATTGCCCATTGAATGGAGATACTGTAAGGTAATTTTGGACTCGTTTTGTCCTGTTTTCAGACTATTTTGAGCAGGTTAAAAGTGAAATCCTTAGAAAAATCCGTGAAAATGTCTGTTTTCTGTTTCAAAATATCTCAAGTTTTAAGTAAATGGCAGGATTTCCTGTTATCAATATAGACGTTCATCCATTGGGGTCACGCAAGCCAAATATCTACCCCGTGAGTCTTTTCTTGAAAGTTTTACAGACGCTCAATCTTGTCCGGTCGAAGAAAAAATGCTGCCGTTGTAGGCAGATACATATTATAAATGCTGCCGTCGATGGCAGAAATACCATGAAAGTGGCTAACATTCTGACAGAAAATCAAGTTCAATCTTTTATCAATTCCTCTTTTCTTTGCGTCCTTTTAGTCAGAATTGAGACGTTAAACTATCATTTCTAATATTTTCTCAAGATAGAAAAGTTATTAACCCATTACCCCATGAGCATCTTGAGAAAAATGGCTGTTTTCATTTTAAGGTCTCCCGTTACAAGTTCAAGTTGCTATAAAACTATAAAAACTGCTTCAAACTTGGCACAAATGTTGACTGGACCATTACCTTTGTAACAACATGTTCAGTCTGAAATTTCCTGTTACCATAGCAACTAGGGGACATCTCAAAATTGCCAAAAATCACTATTTTGCGTTGGTTTTTTCCATCAAAATTGATTTCAAAGTGCTGCCACTTCTCAATGGATTGAGATAGAGTCAAAGGCTTTTCAGTATTGGTTACACGTTACCTTATGATCGACCTGGGGCCATTTTTAGCCTCCCACAAGTCCAAAGTTTTCTTGGCGATGAGGGGGACTCAGCCCCCATTCAAACCCCCAAACAGAAGGGGGCACATCCCCCTTCTGGCAACCCCCTGATGTATCTTTTGGATGGGGTGGGGGGGGGGCGCGCCGAAAAAGTGGTCAATGTTTTAAACAACATTTATCAAACAAAAACAAGTGTTTGGGGGCCTAAATAATTAATTTTTACCATTTGAGAAAGCAAAAAAGGAGGGGGGGGGGGTGAAAAAGGCGTAGAAAGGCGTATATATCTGGTAATGGGTTAACAGAAAATGATGAAAAAAACGAAATTACCCAAAAACGCGTTTTTCCATGTTAAAACATGGCCTCACATATAATTTTGAAGAAAAATTGCTGTTTTGTAGATTTTTTGATTTTTTTCATTAATGCGGTATGTGCATCGAAAAAAAGCTTATTAGCAACATGCAGTTACAATACAAAAAGTTATGATTTAGTACCACAAAATTTCACTATAAATAGAGAAATGAACACGAAAAACTTCATTTTTCTATATTCATGCATGTGTGCTTGATCTGTTGTGTCTGTCAGTTACATGCATACAATACTATATGTATCTTAAGTTTAGCAGCGACTCCCTTTTTAAGACATAACGCCAATTGCATATTACAGCAAGTAACTTCTGTAAGTGGATATTCATTTGCTAGCATATGACATTATTTTCTCGAGGTAATAATGTTCATCGCTTTATGACAAATAAAGGCTGAAATTTACTTAATCGGCGCAGATTATAAATTATTAAATTGATGTAATAAAGGGGAGACTATTAACCTCGCAACTGGCATCAGTGTATCATAAAACAATGTATGTTAATGTAAAATGGAAAGATAATATTATTGACAGTTTCAAATATTTTCCTATATTAATCAAGTTCTTGAAAAACACGACAACGTGGATTCATTTCTTTAAATTTTCATGTTTTGTAATAGCCGTTGTAGTTTGCCTTTGAATTACATTTACTATGCTAAACTATTAAACAACAGTTCTAACATCACGTGCTCCCATTTAACTATATATTTTTTCATTCATTTTAGTTGTAACCATTGACAAACTTATAAAGATGAACCTTTCGATGATTCATATCACAAGATGAAAAAAAATCCTGTATTTATAGGAAAAAAACGAGAATTTTTTTATTTGTTATATTCTTTTTTGCTTTTTTTGACCTTTCAATTCATATGAACAGATCAAGCACACATGCATGAATATAGAAAAATGAAGTTTTTCATGTTCACTTCTCTATTTATAGTGAAATTTTGTCGTACTAAATCATCACTTTTTGTATTGTAACTGCATGTTGCTAAAAAGCTTTTTTCGATGCACACACCGCATTAATAACTTTTCTATCTTGAGAAAATATTAGAAATGATAGTTTAACGTCTCAATTCCGACTAAAAGGACGCAAAGAAAAGAGGAATTGATAAAAAGATTGAACTTGATTTTTCTGTCAGAATGTTAGCCACTTTCGTGGTATTTCTGCCAATCGACGGCAGCATTTATGATATGTATCTGCCTACCAACGGCAGCATTTTTTCTTCGACCGGACAAGATTGAGCGTCTGTAAAACTTTACAAGAAAAGACTCACGGGGTAGATATTTGGCTTGCGTGACCCCAATGGATAAACGTCTACATTGATAACAGGAAATCCCTGCCATTCACTTAAAACTTGAGATATTTGAACAGAAAACAGACATTTTCACGGATTTTTTTCCGAGGCTTTCACTTTTAACCCTGCTCAAAATAGTCCTAAAACAGGACAAAACGAGTCCAAAATTACCCTTACAGTATCTCCATTCAATGGGACAATAGTTTTATAGCAATGATATGGGCCGTATTTGTGTGAAATAAAATTTAAAACCCAAACCAAATTTAAAACCCCTACCTTCCCGATGGTTTAATTTTCAGATTTTTCTGCCTCAGCGTGATCTGCCATCACTGCCCCCGGAATGGGGGTTGTAAATCCGTTTTTCCCGGTTTTTCCCGGACAAGGGTTTGGAATGATAAAATCTAAATCCTTTTGCCCTTTTTTCCCCAAACCCGGAATAAACCCTTTTAACAGGTCTAATTCATTTTTCACCCCCAAAATCAATTTAGAAAATCAAGGAAAAAAAAATTTAATTTGGGCCCGAAAAAAACGAAAAATTTGTCTATTTTTTTTGGTTTTAGGGTTTTTCTGAAAGCGTTAGAGGTACTTGCCCAATCCGTTTTGAAAAAACCCAAATTTTAAATTCTCCCCAAGGGGGGTAATTCCTTTTGGGGATTTTGCTTAATCCCCCTGGGAAGAGTTTTTCTCCCTTTTAATCTTTAGGGTATAATTTTAAAATTTTTAAATTAACTTTTTTTCATACGGGTATTTTTCGAAACAAAAATTTGTTTCTGACAGGGAAGTTATGGAAAAAAAGGACTTTTACCTTTTTTGAAAAGGAAATTTGGGAACTTCGGGTGGGGGTGACAAGATAAAAATAATTCGTCTTTAGAAAGAATTTAATTTTAAACATTTTGAAGACCCATTTTAAAAAACCTTTGGACTGTTTTAGTAAACCAATTTGGGTGGTTTTTCGGGGTTTCCAAAAAATGTTGAAAAAAGGAACAATTTAAACTTTATACCCCCAAAAAATTAAAGGGGTTTTAAATTTATAAATAAGAAAAAGAAAAAACTGACAAGGGGGGTCCCCCTTTCTGGCTTGAAAGGTTTGAAGTTGATGGAAAAAAAAAAAAAAAAATTTGTAAAATAAAAAAAACCATCATTTCCCGACTTGGATAGATTTGGTCATCAAAATGACGTTTTTGAAATAAAATTTTTGGGGAAAAAAATTTCCCATAAAAGGAAACCCAAATTTTTAATTATACCCTTCGAAAGTCTATCAGCTAGTCGAAAAAAATTTAAAGTGTTTTAATTTAAAAAACTTTTTTTGGCAAAACGCCGGTTACCCGGCGCGTTTTTTAGGGAAAAACTTTTTTTTTGGGCCCTAGGAAAGGTGTTTTTAAATTAGCATTTAAATTTTTTATGTGTGTTTAATTTTTACTTTTTTTTGTTTTCGTAAAAAATCAAGAAAACCCAATAATTTTTTGTTTATTTTTGTATTTAATAACTTTATAAAAAAAAGATGGGGCCTTGTGAAAATTATTTTCACGAAATTGCAGGCTAAATTTAAACCCGGGTTTGGCCCCTTTTTGTTTTATTGAAAAACAAAAAACCCAAATTTGGAAAATTCAATTTTGTGCCCCCAACTTTGTGTTTCATTTTTTAAATATATTTTCAAAAACGTTTCCTAAAAAGAAGAAATTTCCCCCGGGCAAATGAGT